GATGAGCATAGAACCACAAGGCACCTGAAGCATCCTTCCACGGCAGCAGGACTGCACGAGCAAAACTTGAAAGTACTCAGCTTCAAAGTATCCTTGTTCGTCCTTCCATGGAAAAGCATTACAAAGCTTCTTCAACACGCACTCTGTCAAAGGGGCAGTGAGGAACCAAATAAAATAACTTTAAACCTCAACCAATTACACTGTCCTTAGGCCTTTCCTGAATCTGTGCACTTTATTTCCTCCCATCTCACCAGACGTGATTTAAAAACAAGGGTCTGCATTTCAAAGGCCACCCTTCTTGTGCCCATGAATGGCCTGCTCTGGAATCTATGGCTTAAAAAGAGGGAGACCTTGATCTTTTTACAAGATTTGCTGATGAAAAGTTTGATAATGTTAGGAGATACTCCACCTAGAGAGTCTGAATTCAGTATGGGTCACTTTTATAGATTATAGAACTGCTTAAACAACAGTCATTTAAATTACCACATTAACAGGTGTTGTGATTTATAATGTAAATTTGAACATCAAATACAAATAGCCTTTAGGGGATGTTCAGAAGACAAAAATCATGCCCAAGAGGCTCTTCTCATCCCTTTTTTCATGACAAGTAATTACTTACAGTCCTGCTGCCTACTATAATACATGAGGCTCTAGTACCCTCATTGCCTGTTAAAGCTCTGCAAACACACAGTATTCCCTTCTTACCAAACAGCTGAGATGAATTGTTCCCCCTCTGAAGACCTAAGGACTCTAAGATCAAAATTTTGGAGCAGGAAAAATATGAAACACAATAAATAAATAATTTATGTGTGTGTGTTCATATATACTTATGTCTAAATACATAAAATACATTAAACATATTGTGTGCACATATGTATGTGTGTATATCTGCGTACGCGTCTTTATGGAAAATTCAAAGTATTCACTTAACAGCCCAACTGAATTGAGTTTCAGAGGTCCTCACCAAGGAGGAAAGGGTCATGTAGACAAATGACTGCATCCACACAAGCTCATTAGGTAGATGTTCACATTATCCTTCTTTATAAAGAATTCCTACAAATTCTGTACAACAACATGGAACTGGCCTCAGAAGACCCACTATGAAGGTTTTAAAGATGAACAGATACATAACCTGTTAAAACTGCCAAAATGGAAAAAGAGGATTGATTCTTAATGAAAAGTTAGGAGATATAAAGAGCCAAAGAATACTCCAGCTTATTCTGAAAATAGGAAGGAATTTACTTGTTTGCCTCTTTCCTTCCCAGAAGCCAAGCCATACGTTTAGGGGAGATTTTAGAGATTTAATTTTCCACAAGCACAGGCCATAAATTAAAACACAGCAATCCAATCACATTAATAGTGCAAGGAAAAGCTAAGTGGTTGCTTTGTTTTTTTCTTTCACAAACTTGTGTCAAGCTCAGTGACTTCAAAGAGATTTCCATTTCATTTCTACAAATGAGGAGAAGAGACAGAGAGTCTCTGCCATCCTCTGAGTCCTGAAGAAAACAAGAGAAACGTGCCCGTATCTCATTCTAATGATATTAGCTGCTAAAGGAATCCCATGGTCGGCAGACGACCCTCAGGGCAAGGGCTTGAAGTCTGTCACAGTGTGTAAGGCTTCTCCAAACCCACTCCATTATCTTCATTACTGTGTACCAGGAATAAAAGGAGACTGACTCCTCTTCTGGAGCTCAAGTTAGAAAGAACAGAATGTTTCATGTAAAATAACATTGTGTGACTTCAGTAATAGGTTTATGCCTTTGGGGGCCTAAGAATAAAGCTGCATGTATGGATTTTCCACAGAATTTGAGAGAAGAAAAATGAGTGCTGTATTAGCAATGAGTAAAATTTCTGTGAGTTTTAGACCCACTGAAACACTTAAGTGTGTGTCAGCATGACTCATTTTCAATCACATACTTCCATCCAGCAGCAGGAAAAAGGCAAAATTAGGGGGAAAAGAAAAAGAGCAAGGAGCTTTGGAGCTAAGTATCAAAACCCCCCCCCCCCCCAGTCCCCCCAAGTCATACCCAAGGAGCAAGGAGGAAAAGGCAGTGCTGAGCTTTTGGAAGAGCAGGCAGCATGGGTTCCTAAATGGCACATTAACCAAGAGTATATATTCAACAAATCTACATAAAACCATTTATATAAAGAGTGATGCTTCCCTTATCAGCTCCTGTGTGAGTACAGGGAAGTGTTTACATATGTTGCTGCACTCTGAGCAGTATGTTTAAAATGTAAAAATTCTTGTCCTTTACCAACATAACTTACTAATTTTTAATTTTATTTTCTATCAAACATAATTGTAGAAAACCGTTTCCCTTGTAACAATGAAGTTTCTTAGAAAGAGTCAAACCTGTTATCAATACTTTAGAATATCTCACTTGTTTTAAAGCCCATTTCAGAAAAGATAAACCCTTTTCTTGACTGATATGGAGTTTGAATTGAGACCTAAAGTTGTCTAGGCTGCCCTTCCCTTTTTTCTGATTTGGAAGAAACAGGCCATTTGAGAGAATGCTTGAAAAGCACGTTTCCCACAGAAATTCAGAGGACTATTTCAAACAATAAAAAGAGAGCAAGCACAGCCCATTGCACAAGTTAAATAATATATAAACTTTTGAGTACATAGAGAAATGGGAATGTGGCTCATATCTGGTCTTTGAAGGATTCACAGGAAATTGATTTAATTAAACCTCAACTACTGGTGCAAATGTTTCCCTTTCTTCCCAAAGGGAAATAAAGTATTAAATTATTCTTGTTGACATAATGCAGCAAAGCTTAACCAAGATTCTTGATCTTCATCCCACAAAGCTTTACAAACTAGCAAGACTAAAAATCATTACTGAAATATGCATTTATCACAAATTGCTGCATTTTTACCTACATGTACTATCAAAGATTCCCACTTGTAACACCTCATTCAAAGAGAAATTCATTAATATGGTAATTACCTGACTAGCAACCAGTGATGACTGACAATTTTACTTTAGCACTACATGAACAAGACATGACAATAATTTTCTGCTGGAGTTCAAACAGAGAAGACACTGTGTTGTATGGTATATATCTCATTTAGGGAAAAACACTCATATTTGTAGAGGATCTCTAAGAACAGTCTAGCCATCTGCACCCAGAAATATATATTTTTTAATTAGCCACTCTAAAAACAACCATGTTGGCTGAAGGAAAGGGGGAGGGAGGCTTGTCAAAATGATGTATTTGTCCCTCACCACCTTTCAGTGCTCTTATGCAAGTCTAATTTTCTTCCTAGCCACCTCACCTCTCTGGCCCCCTTTTGTTTCATGTCCCATTTCCCATTCTCTTCTAACTTCTGAACTTTTGTTAGTTCGCTTTTAAGGAGAAAGGGAAAAAAAGCTCAACTCTTTCCTATTCATTTTTTCCTGGATGGGGAGTAAGCAGAGACATGAATATGGCACCCTCATAATGATTTAACTAGGGCTTAATGAAATTTTCATCACAACCTGCTGTTCAATTTAATGGCCTTTGAAAGACAATAGAACAATGGCTAGAGGGAAGAAAAGATTTTTTGTTGCACGCATTTGTAAAGCCCAGCATTCAGTTGCTCCCCCTCCTCTCTCTCCCAATCTCCTCACAAAGCTGTAGATCTTTTGTTTGTACTGTATATTTTCATTTTAGTAGAGCTGAGATAATGCACAAGCTCTGTAACCATTCTCATGTCTATCGGTGGCCTTTCCTTAATGGAATCTGTGCAGCTTGTACAACCTCATACTCAACAGAGTATTTATACACTGCCCAGAACTCCTTGTTCTTCCCTCTCTCAGATAAAAGCCTGGTCTTCTTCCCACCCATTCCCCCCGCAATCTCTTCCTTCCAAAGGCACAAGGTATGCTATGGCACTGACCATTACATCTACCTAAATGCAAAAGAAATGTTGTAAGTAATATTAAAAAAAAATGCTCAGACAAAGAATTTGCTTCCCAGCAGCCCCCTACTGCGTGCTCCAGTCAAGAAAAGCCTAATTTACAATCCTGTCATGCTCCTGTATGTGCCAGCATGCTTGTATCCATACTTCTGCTCCAGTATGCAGGTTGTCCCGAAATTTTCTTGTGGGTGCTGTCACTTCATGCTTTGAGCACTGATATGGGCCCTGAAAGCCCTGCTTTTAAGCATTTGGAATAGATTTCTGTAACAGGATAGGTGAGTGTGAATGAGAATGGAGTCTCACTGCTGTGCCATAGGAAACAAGGCTCAGTATGCTCACACAATTGGCTCACAGTGCGCCAAAAAGACAGCTGTAAATAAGCATGCAGATACCTACAGAGAGCATAACAAGAACTTCATCTTCCAGTAAGGACTTGGACTCTTCCCCAAGCAGGGAAAAATTAAAATTCCTCATCTTTGGTCTTAGTCCCAAGCCCAAAGAACACGAGTCCCATCACCACCAGCTGGAGAGAGGGTCTCAAAAGACACTTGTTTTCCAGAAAGTTCACCTAGGAGCCAAAGCTGAGACTTGCTGGCCACACATAATGCAGGGAACACCTGCATTCCCTGTTTGTACAGCACCTGCACTACACATAAACAGACCATGATCTGTCCCACACAAAACCCTTCACAAACTCCCAGTTTACCTTCTTACCTTTCAAACAATGACTGGCCCACTAGATCATTTCACAAAAACACTGACACTGATGATAAATAATACTTCTTTTAGTTCTAGAAATTGGGAGAGTAGTGGTGTAAAAGCCCCCAGGTGATTAAAATTAGCTTACTGCAGGCATATTGAGGAATTTGCCACTGTAACAAAAAGACCAATAGACTCTCTTTTTTGGGAAAATCTAAAAGCATTAGCTATGATGGGACACTGGTAAAATTTACCTCTAATGTAGAAAAGAACTGTAAGATCTGCTGGCAAGGAAAAGCAAACAGAGCAGAAAATGGCACAATTAGAAAGTATATGTATCCAAAGGATCTGGAGAAAAGAAAAGAACACAGAAAATTTTGGCCAGCTTCCCAGGCCTTACCTTCTGGCTCATTTTTGATGAGCTCTTCCATTTTCCTTTGCTTCAGGGTGTCCACGACATCTGCCAGGCTCCCCTTGCGCCGCTCCGGGGTTCCTAGGGCTGTGCTGGACAAGGACTCTCCACTCTGGCGCCCACCTTCTTCTGCCTTTAGGGGTGAGGTAGATGAGTTGTGCGGGGCAAATGAAGACATCACTTTATTGCCATCAACTTCCTGAAAGGGGAGAAAAAACAAGATGAAACGTTCCTTTCTTTTCTTGAATAAGGGGGGGGGGGGGAAATAAATCGACAGAAAGAAAGGAAGAAAAATCCTTTGTTCTTTGAGTTCATTGCTACTTGTTCTTCTGTTGAAACCTTTAAAAAAAGGCATGCAAAGCTTCAAAAACACCCAGAACAAAGCCTATCCATAAAGCATAAACCAAGATTGCAGGCTGGAGTGAACAAAGATCAGCTTGCAAGAGAGAAACATAAAATACAGTTTTTCCCTAATTGAGAAGAAGTGTTGTTCTCATCGGTTTCCTAATAACAATGGTATTGATTACCTGTAATTGTTTGTTCTTTTACAGCTCTCTTTCTAAAAAACCCTTCAATTTTCACAAGGACCATTAATTTCCTGACTTTATAAAGTACTTAATGCCTTGACTGGCTAGTTGTTTTAAGAAAGAAAATAGCAACTAAACATTAAATGTCCTTTGCCATATGACATACTTTTACTCACAGTTCAAGCAGTTCTCCCATCTATAAAGGATGAAGCAATTGCTTTCTGTTTCCTAATTCTATTCTCTTCTGTCTTAAACCTTCAGCTCTTGTAGAAACAGTATTTTTCACAAAGGTGGTCCTAATGACTTTCCCTGGCAGCACAATGGCAAAACTCTGATTTCCTGGAACATATATACAACCCTCCTCACACGAGAGCCCACAGAGGTCTACTCATTAATTTTAATGGAAAGCAAAACTGGTTCCAGCATCTTCAAACTTGCCTTCATTAACATAAGAACCTTCTCCTCCACATCTCCTCCAACTTTAAGCAACGTTCTCTGCACATATTCCTCCTCCTTTCATGTCTGTTGTACCCTACCCTTCTGTACACATCTCCCAAACACATTTTTCCAAATCTTGTATTTGTCATCTGTACCTGAAAAACTTAGGTCAATGTCTCCAAACAAAGATTGCAGCAGAGTAATACACTGCATAAAATATAATGCTGTAAACATAAGTAGTTTTTATTTTTATGTGATTTCCCAGTTTTTTTTTTCACTATCCTATTTTTGAACTCTAGTTGTTTAATGAATATTGGTTTTTAAATAAGCCACTGGATCATCTTGTTATACGAGTTACAGACTTGGTTGAAAAAGTCTTAATTTTTTAATTGTTTTTATTTTTGCACTGCATTTCAGAGGGTATGAAGGTGCTATATATGTCTATAAATATGCACACACTGATTTTTGATAGTGATTTTTGTTATAATTTTATCTTTTTGAGTAATTTTAACATCTCTGCTCTAATAAATCACAGTATTTCAGAAAAAAAAAAATTTATGAAAGAACATAAGTTGCTATAAATTATTTTAATAAAATCTGGGTAAAGCTACATGGAAAACATGCAATAAAGAAAGTATATTTGTTTTCACAGGCTACTTTGTTGTGGCAAAAAGATTACCTATGGTTAAGAAAACTTTAAATGCAAACAGTTTTGAGCAGCTTGAATGTGTTATACTAGTGAATAAATTCCCTAACAGAATCGGATTTAACTGAGATTTCAATCTGGGCCATCATATGCCCCAAAAACCAAACCCAGTGATGTTAATGAGAGACTTTCTACTGACGTCAGTGAGCTTTTGACCAAGCCCTAAAAAATTTTCGAACTCCAATTAACAGAAATGCCCCCTTTTTTTCCTTCTAACTCCCTCCATTTTTTGTTCTGCACTTGCAAAATTCCTAGTTGCTAACACTGGACTTCAAAACTTAGTTGAAGCCAAATGCGATTTTTTCTCATATAGACTTGAGTAAACTTAAACACCAATCTAAACAAGCAAAATGGTTAACTTCAGCATAATTTCAGATTTTATCTAAAATTCAAAACCATTATCACCAAGTGGCTATTTTTTTTTCCCTACACACAAGGCTGGAAGAGGAAATATTTTGAAAGCTGCTTTCTTATTCACACTTTGAGACAGATAAGCCAAATATCATCATCCTTAGTTACACTTCTTAAATCTACCTATGCCGCCAGTCATGTATATGAACAGTGGGTTTCTTCATTTTACCAGGAACTAATTTCTTCTTTTAATCCAAAGCAGGTTCCAAAAGACTTTCACTCCTGTTTCTGTGCGTCACAGACAGAAAGTATCTGTAAAACTTGCCAAAACTTCAGGTATCACAGCTGCTGCTTCCATGCCCATTTGGGGTACATGCAAATGGGATTTTATACGTACAAATATATTCTGAGAATAAAACCAGTTTGTTATAAGAGAAGAAGCAAAAGAACACAAGGATTGAATGACTATGTAAAGTAATATAAGATGGTTTTCAGAATCACAAATTGCTTGGCTTTCAAATGAAACTCAAAAGTATTTTTAAAACTTGCCTTGCTTTCTGGGGAAAAGGAATTGTGATGGGGACAATGCAGCAGTCTGTGAACAAAGCATCTTGAAGGGACTCTGAATAGTCAATTCCTTGTTCTTTCAAATGCACTGTGAAACCACAGAAAATATCACTTTTTTTCCCCTGCATTTCAGCTTCCTACCTGTAAAACAGGCACAAGTAATCTCTTATACTATAAAGGTCTTAGAATGATAAATTCATTAGTAACAGAGAAACTGTCCTACTACAATGTTGGCTAAAAGCAGTTGGAATACCACAGTTAGAAAGACTTCATAGCTGGCTAAGAAAGGAAAGGGGAGTGTTCTACACAGATTTTTTTTTGAAAGGTAAATTAGATACTAAAACATACAATCAAGAAACCATCCCCTGCAATAAGTTTCTTTAGATCTCTCAGTTAGGTGTGCACGTATGCAGTGTTTGCATATCACATACATGGCTATTTATACACTTGTGGGATTTAAGCCTCAATCAAAACACATATACAGTAAGGGAACAGCTGCAATCACATCTCAGTGGGCTAAACTACAGTACACCAGTGAATTATTCATTCAGAAAGATCTGCAGCAATCACACATCCATTGCGTGATTTACAGTCCAAGAGGAATCCTCTCCTCTCTGTGCTGGTGGAGGAGAGCTCACCCCAGCTTCTGCTGCTGAGGACACTTCAGCATGAATCCTCCAGCAAACCAGCTCCAGAACCTGCTCTCCACAAGCCCAGCATCCTTTTATTCTGCTGTTCAAAACAACACGAAACATGCAACAGTTACCTTGGCTTTCACTTCACGCCCCTCTCTTTTATTTTGTTCTTTCTTATGCCATTATTTGGATTTATGAAAAAGTTGTCAATGGGTCTGGATTTTTACTTCTAGCATGTAAAAGGAAAGGATACTTCCACCACATAAAACCTGCTTGTGTCAATGGATGCATAAAGCCAAAAAATTACAAGTAAAAAAAATCCTCTGATATTGTACACAAAAGTTTAATTGTCCCCCTGAAAACACTCAGAGAAATCCTTAATGGCACGAAAGATATGTCAGCAACAGTTTAAAATCAATCCCCTGAGAAGTTCCCTCCCAACAAGTGAGATTTAGCAGGTTCTTTTTTTAAAGGGACAAATTGACATGACTTTCTCCAGTTTAACTGAGAGAAAAGCAACAGCACTGTAAACTGGTATTAAGAAACATCAATACCTGCTACTGATGTTGTACAATTAAGTCCATCAAGCCACACATAAGACCCATCTCTCAGCCAGCAGGGCAGTGGACAAACACTTTTCCTGGAGAACAGCCTCTCCCAGCTGCGTAACCATTTCACCTGTTCAAGTTTGATTACACTCCAGCCTCTGGCACTGCTAATCCTGGTAACAGTTTTATGCAGGCAACAGCTGCTCGGTGGATGGGGCTCTGATGTTCACCTGCACTGCCAATTGCTCTGCTGACATGTGCTGGCCCAACATCATCCAGCTCAGAGCTGGGATGGTACTCACCAAACACCTGAGGCTGCTGCTTCTTGATTTCCCCTTCAGAAAGGTAGGCAAGGATCTGCACAGATCTTGCTGAAACAAACACTCCAGCCCCTTCTTTCCCTCCCAAGCAACAGCAACACAAAAGTGACCAGCCCACGTCTCGTGTCTTCTGCGTCTGTTCCAAGCTACAATCCACAGGAAGACATGTTCATTTACAAGAAAGCTGCCTCAATATTGCCAAACAACGTCCCACCTATGGAGGAAATACTGCTTCCAAGGTTTAATGATAAAACAGTCTTCTGCCCTTTCAGGATGAGGTCAATAATCTTCCTTTGTTAATCTTGGGCAAGCTTTACTTAATCTAGCCCCCTTGTCACCTTTGTGATTGACAGGAAAAGTCATGTCACTGGACAATGGACTTGTCTTCACTGAGCAATATCTTTTTTAAAGATTACACAATGTTACCCTTGCTCTCATAAAAAGTGCAAACATTGTCCTGTTAAAATAAACTCTTCATTCCAGCTGTATCTTTCAAATTGTCTCCCTCTGTTTCCAGGGTCCAAGGGAGGCATATTTCAGTTCTACAGAGGAACATTTACAGGTTTAATGAAAAGAAACAGGTTGTACTCTGTGAGATTTCCAAAATACCTTTTAGTGATCTAAATAGATCTCATCTTCTCCTTCCTCATCTAGAGATGCAGATTATTCCTGTCTGCAATTAGACTCAGACACTCTGCTTCTGTGACATTAAAATTTTGTCCCAAACCAACCAAGAATCAAAGCAGAAGAAAACTAAGAACTAATTCTGAAACTGTTAATTACCACCATATGGTATGCATGAAGTCTGCATCTGCAGGGGAAAAAAAATATATATCATGAGAGAGTTTTTGCAGCCAAAAACACCTGGAATAAAATACTTGTGTCTTTAAAACAAGCACAGATACTGTCTGATTGTAAGAAGCCTGTGATCCTAAAAGCAACCAAAAAGTTTCTTTTCTTCAAAGCTGGAATTTTGCCCATGGTTCACTCTTTTAGGATGTGTAAAGAAGACTAAAGGCAGGTTTGTTTTCTCTGCTTTCTACATCAGACATGTAGGCTAACATATAGACTATTTTATAGTCTCCATAGTGACCAGGAAGCTGGTAA